AAATAAATAAATAAATAAATAAATAAATAAATAAAAATAAGTGAAATCCACCAAATTTTCCTCTAAAAAGGAATGGCTAAGTAAAAATGGCAACACATTCAGGAGAGGGAAGCAATCACAGTAGTGTTTTTGAAAGAATCTTTAAAGATTTTATAGCTTAAAAAATTGTATAAGTAGCAAGAGGCAGTTTTGTTCTTTGTGAATATATACATATATGTATTATACATTATATATGTACACATATATAATATATATGAAACCTTTCCATACAGAAAAAAGCTTAAAAATAAGTCAAAGTCATTCCTGGCTTTCTTGAGATATTATTGACATATAACATTATGTAAGTTTAAGGTATACAAATGTGTTGATTTGATACACTTATATATTGCAAAATAATTATCACCATAATGTTAACTGATACCTCCACCACATCAAATAATTACCATTTCTTTTTTGTGATGAAAACATTTAAGATCTACTCTCTTTGCAAATTTCAAGTACACAACATAGTATTATTAACTATAATACCATGCTGCACATTAGATCCCCAGAACCTATTTGTCTTATAACTGAGTTTTTACCCACTGACCCTCATCTCCGCATTTCCCATACCCCTCAGTCCGCATTTCCCATACCCCTCAGTCACCATTCTACTCTCTGTTTCTATGAGTTTGGCTTTTTTAGATTCCACAAAAAAGTGAGATTGTACGGTATTTGTCTTTCTCTCTCTGACTTATTTCACTATGCATAATGCCCTCAGGGTCCATACATGTTATCACAAATGGTAGGATTTCCTTCCTTTTCATGGTCAAATAATGTTCCGTTGTATATATATATACACCTTCTTTATCCATTTGTTGGTTGACAGACACTCTGCCTGTTTCCACATCTGTTTCCACACCTCAGCTATTGTGAATAATGCTGCATTGAACATGGGAGTGCAGATAGCTCTTCAAGACCGTATTTTCCTTTCCTTTGGATATATATGCCCCAAAATGGGATTGATGGTGGTTCCACCTTTAGTTTTTTGAGGAAACTCCATACTGTTTTCCACAGTGGCTTCACCAGTTTCCATTCCCCCAAACACTGCACAAGGGTTCTTTTTTCTCCACACCCTTGCCATCAGTTATTATTTCTTGTCTTTTTGATGACTGCCATTCTAACAAGTGTGAGTTGATACCTCATTGTCATTGTGATTTGTCTTTCCCTGATGATGAGTGATTTTGAGCACCTTTTCACTTACCTGTTGGCCATTTGTATGTCTTTTTTTGGAAAATGTCTATTCAGTTCCTCTGCCCATTTTTAAATCATATTGTTTGCTTCTTTTGCTATTGAGTTATATGAGTTCTTTATATATTTTGTATATTAACCTCTTATCAGATATATTATTTGCAAATATTTTCTCCTATTCCATAGGTTATCTTTTCATTTTGCTCTTTTTTTTTTTTTAAAGATTTTACTTATTTATTTGACAGAGAGAGAGATAGCGAGAGCAGGAACACAAGCAGGGGGAGTGGGAGAGGGAAAAGCAGGCTTCCTGCCGAGCAGGGAGCCCGATGCGGGGCTTGATCCGAGGACCCTGGGATCATGACCTGAGCTGAAGGCAGATGCTGAACGAAAGAGCCACCCAGGCGCCCCTATTTTGTTATTTTGCTGTGCAGAAGCTATTCAATGTGATGCAGCCCCACTAGTTAATTTTTGCTTTTGTTGCTTGTGCTTTTGGTGTCACATCCGCATAATCATTGCCAAGACTAATTAACGTCAAAGAGTTTTTCCCCATGTTTTCTTCCCAGAATTTTATGGTTTGGGGTCTTACGTTTAGGACTTTAATCCATTTTGAGTTAATTTTTGTGTGTGGTGTAAGATAGGGGTTCAATTTCATTCTTCTGCATGTGGTGATGCAGTTTTCCCAACACCATTTATTCAAGAGACTATCCTTTCCCCCACTGAGTACTCTTAACTTCCTTGTCAAATATTAGTTGACTGTATATGTGAGAGTTCATTTCTGAACTTTTGATTTTGTTTCATTGGTCTAGATGTCTATTTTTATACCTGTACCATACTATTTTGGTTATTATAGCTTTGTAGTATAGTTCGAAATAAGGAATTATGATGCTTTGCTCTTCGTTTTCAGGATTGCTTTGGCTATTCATAATCTATTGCAGTTCCAGAGAAGTTTTAGGATGGATTTTCCTATTCCTGTGAAAAATTCCAAAGGGATTTTGATAGGGATTGCACTGAATCTATAGATAGGCTTGGGTAGTATGGACATTTTAACAATATTAATTCTTCTGATCCATTAACATGGGACATCTTTCCATTTGTTTGTCTTCTTCAATTTCTTTTATCAGATTCTCATGTAGTTTTCAGTGTATAGAACTTTCATCCCCTTTGTTAAATTTATTCCTAAGTGTTTTATTGTTTTTGATGCTAATGTGAATGAGATTGTTTTCTTTCTTTTTTTAGATGTTTTGCTGTTAGTATATGCAAATACAACTGATTTCTTGATATTGATTTTGTATCCTACAACTTTGCTGAATTTGTTGATCAGTTCTAACAGTTTTTTGGTGGATTTTCTATATATAAGATCATATGTTCTGTAAACAGAGATGATCTTACTTATTCCTTTTCTTTTGAATGCTTTTTATTTCTTTTTCTTGCCTGATCATTCAGGCTAGGATTTCCAGTACTATGTTGAATAGGTGTGGTGAAAGGGGGCACTCTTGTCTTGTTCCTGATCTTAGATAAAACACTTCCAACCATTCATTGTTGAGTATGATATTAGCTGTGGGCTTGTCACATATGGCCTTTATTATACTTAGGTATGTTCCTCCTTTATCTAATTTATTTAACAAATTTATCAAGAAAAGATGTTGTACATCGTCAAATGCTTTTTTTTGCATCTATTGTGATGATTAAATGATTTTTATCTTTTATTCTATTAATATGGTGTCACATTGATTGATTTGTATATATAGAACCATCCTTGCAACCCAGAGATAAATGACACTTGATCATAATATATAACGTGCTGTTGAATTTGGTGTGCTAATATTTTGTTGAGGATTTTTGCATCTATATCCATCAGGGATATTGGTCTGTAGTTTTCTTATCGTGTTCTTATCTGTCTTTGGTATCAGGGTAATGCTGACTTTGTAAAATGAATTTGGGAGTATTCCCTCCTATACTATTTTTTTGGAAGAGTTTGAGAAGAATTGGTGCTAAGGTTTCTTTAAATGTTTGGTAGAATTCACCCATGAAATCATAAGGTCCTAAGTTTTCTTTTTTGGGAGGTTTTTGACTACTGATTCAATCTCCTTACTCATTATTGGTCTCTTCAGATTTCCTATTTGTTCATAATTCAGTCTTGGTAGCTTTGTTTCTAGAACTTTTTCCATTTCTTCTAGGTTATCCAATTTGTTGGCATATAGTTAGTCATAGTAGTCTTAAGATTCTTGTATTTCTGCAGTATCAGTTGCACTGTCTTCTCTTTCATTTCTGATTTTATTCGAGTCTTGTCTCTTTTTTCTTAGTCTAGCTAAAGGTTAGTTGATTTTGTTTATTGTTGAAAACCATCTCTAGTTTCACTGATCCTTTCTATTGTTTTTCTGGTCTCTGTTTCATTTATTTCTGATCTGATCTTTGTGATTTCCTTCATTCTGCTAACTTTGGGTTTAATTTTTTTTTTCCTAGTTCCTTGAGGTGTACAGTTAGTTTGTTTATTTAAGATCATTGACTTCAGTTCACATTTTGGTTTCACATTCAAGAGTTCTGTGCTCTTGTCTAAGTCACTTAATTACTCTCTGCCTCAGTTTCTTTGTCTTTAAAATAGGGGAAAAAAACAAGTTCTTCGGAGGACTAACACAGCTGATCAAAATAAGTCAGTTAGCAGGATATATGGTGCATAATAACGCAATGAATCCTAGAGGCTATTATGATTTAATATCTGTCTCCCTGGCTAGAGTTCAAGTCCCATGGGGCAGAGCCCACAGTCGTATCCCCAGCACTTGGGACAGTGTCTAGCATGCAGGTGAAGAATGAATCTGTCCTACCTCACACTTGATGTTCACTTGTAGATTTGTCAGCAACCGCTGGATTTTCTCTATGAAAATAAGGTCCACAGCCAGATTATGGAATTTGCTTTCAAACTTGTTGATGACATCATTGGCCTGTAAAGATATATAAAAAGTAAAGGAGGGGGGTTTAATTTGGAACTTACAGACTTTGGAACCAGAGGGGGACGGGCTCAATTTTTTGAAAAAGGGGGCTTGGCAGACCCATCAGGCAATGAGCAAGGGTGACCTGGGAGCCTGGCTGGAGGTCAGGGGCAGGACTCCCTGACCTGGTCCAGGTATTCACTCTCCATCTTCTCCATGTTGATCATGATTAAACTTTCAACAAACTCTATTCGGGAAGCTTCCTTCTCCAGTCGATGACACACTAAGTCAATTTCTTCAGAAGAAAAGTTGCCTCCCTCAGAAAACAATCTGAAAATAGTTTGAGAGAAATACAAACCATTGATCAGACCTGAAACTTCCCACCCATCCCAAAACCTGTGGTTGACAAAGCTTTAGAAACTATAGGATCACAGAAAAATGAATACAGGTGATTCAAAGATAGAAGCAGTGAAATAACCCAAATGTCCTTCAAGGGAGGAACAGAGAAACAACATGTGGTGTTTAGACACAATGGAGTAGTACGCAGCCTTAAGGAGGAATGACATTCTGACATATGCTATATGATGACTCTTGAAGATATTATGTTAAGTGAAATAAGCCAGACACACAAAAGGACAAACACTGTATGATTTCACTTATATGAGGCACCTACGATAGTCAAATTCACAGAGACAAAAAATGGAATTATGACTACCAGGGGCTGGGGGAGGAGAGTGGGAGTTAGTGTTTAATGCATTCAGAGTTTCAGTTTATGAAGATGAAAAATTTTGGAGAGGGATAGTGCACAACAATGTGAATGTACTTAATGCTACTGAACTAACTGTCCACCTGAAAAATGGTTAAAATGCACAGTTTTAGTCATATATTTTGTCACAATAAAAAAGTAAGGAAAACAAGACCACTTCTCAAGAGAGAAAGCCCAGTGCCCACAGGGGCCCCAGATGCGGGCTCCCACCTGCAGTGCTTGATGAACTCAATGTTGGTTAAGCGAAGCTTGCCCATGCTCTCCTCCAAGTACTGGCGGAAGCTGCGCAGGGACACCTGGATGACATCAACATAGCTAAGCAGCTCCCGGTGCAGCGTGCTGCTGAGACTAACCAGCCTGTGGGACACAGGAGGGCAGGGGGGTGACCCGGGTGTGGAAGGGCAGCCTCGGGGCTGCCTGAGCTCCACTGCTGTGCGCAGCTGTGGAGCCACAGAACCACGGCCATGTTCCTCTGGGTAGAAAAAGAGGCTAAAAGGAAATTCAAAATGCCAGTGTGTGCAGGACACAGTGCGGAACTCTCCATGTGCTGTAGCAGAGGACATCCCTCTTCTCTCTCTAGCCCTTGCCACCAAATTACTAAAGGAATCCCCAGGTCCCACTGGATCTTCAGCCTCCCTGCAGTGATCTGTCTTTCTCTAACCCCCAGCAATGTGGCTCCTGGGGCTGGTGCTCTCCCGAAGGAGCACCCTGCAAGTTTTCTCTTTACCTTTAAGTCCACCCTAACCAGCAGCCTCTTGTGTACCGGACACCTGTGAGGGCTCCTCACCTGTTACCTGAATGAGGGCTCCATCTCAAATCCCTGAATGGCCTCCTTGGAACCCCTCACTGCCGTGAGCACATCCTCACCTCAAGCTGGGCCAGTGCTCCTTCCTGAGGGGAAAATTCTGTCTCCTCTTCACCTTCCTCCATCCCAGGCTGGGGGGAGTGGGCGGCCTCCTGCAGGAAGCTCTTCCTGATCCCCCTTGATGGAAGTGGGCTTTCCCCACATGGACCTTTCAGGGCAGGTTAGTAGCATCCCTGCATCCTGACCATGTGCGACCTTTTTTCTCTCCCTGGCTGTTCACCCAGCCCCCAGCTCCCCACCAGACGGTTCACACAGTTAAGACTCTGACTTGTGTGAAGAGGTGAGCTGAAAAGAGAAGGTTGCTGTGGGGCCTGGACAACTGACTCGTATCCACCAGGATAGAGCAGCCAAAGGCTGACATCTCGTGTCTGGGATTCCAGGAACCTCACCTCTGGCTCTTTGTGGCATTCAAGAAGATGTGCTCCATGTCGTAAATCTTGCGGCGGAAGTTTTTGCTCTTTATGTTTTGCTCTTCTTGGAACTGGCAGAACATCAGCCTCTCCTTCCTTAGCGTCTCAGTCACCCCAGCACAGTGGCTGTCCAGCCGCTCTTGATGAAGCAAGAGCTCAGCTGAAAAAGGATGAGGGGGAGCTGAGGCCCTCTGGGATCTCAGGTCACCTCAGGACGTTCCTCTCCTGGATGGTGACCGCTGCCCTCGCCAGGGCTTGGCTTGGGAATGGGTGCAGATCTGAGAGAGGCCAATCTGAGACTGCCCCAGGGTCTCTAACTGGAGAGGAGGCTGTCCAGGCTGTGAGCAGGGGGGGTCCCTGCATGTGAAGACACCCAGGAGCAGGTGGGTTGGGTGGAGGGTGTTGGGAAAGGTGGGGATTGTGGTGAGAGAGTCTGGAGAAAACAGCCAGCACAGACACTGGGCAAGGTGGTCAGAGTTTGTTCCTGTCTATCAGTGGCTGCTCTTTCCAGGGAGCTTGAATTCCAAAGGACTTCTAGGGTGGAGCAAATGGAACGAGGATTTGGCTTCAAGGGCTCCATCAGAGGCCTTTAGAGCTGGCAAATAGCCCCAGGTCAGCCACCCTATCTTCCTACTGCCTGCAGGTGAAAGTGCGGTCATCCCAGCTCTGCCAAAAATGAGTGCAGGGACCTTGTTTTTCTGACCTCAATCTCCCCATTGTGCACTGGGGCAGGGAGCCAGGGAAGGGGCAGGAAATCAGCCTTCATAGAGCATCTCAATTTATATTTATATTTAATGCACACATTTTCCAGATGAACACAATGAGGTTCCAAAACCAAGCAGGGCTCCCCAGGCCACAAGCACAGGGACTCCAGGCCAGGCTGTCTGATTCCATAACTCTGTCACTGTTCCAGGCAGGAGGAGTTTGGTTGGGACCATGTGGGGTCACTCTGGGAGCTCAAAGGGTGTCTATGAAAAAGTTTGAAGTGTGACCCAACTGAAAACCCAACAGGGTCATTGAGGATCCAACTAAAAGTATGCCACCCTCTAATGGAGCCCTCTGCCTAAGAGAGAAATGGCACCTCTTTTTCAGTTATAAATTGTGAGCTTAAATTAATGGGTACCACTTGCTCATGATTCCTCACTGTACCCTTTCAGAAAGAGTTAATTACCACCAAACAATATCCCCTTCTGCAAGTAAGGGAGGGATCAGAGAGGTCAGGTAACATGTCCAGAGTCACACAGCTAGAGAGGCCGATCCTAATAGCTCTGATTTCTGAGCTCCAAGCTTGCCTCTAGAGCACCTGCTATGCAGGTATGTATCCGATAGGTGTGTGAGCAGATCTGGTATTCACACAGCTAGAACAGGACAGTACTCTTCATTCTAGTATCTAAAGTCCTGTTTAAAAAAATTTTTTTTTTAATTTCAAATGTGGGTTCTGAGTACTGCCTTGTCTGCCAGCCTGAGGGGTGGAACCCTCACACAGGGGCACCTAATGAATGTAGAACCGCGGTGGCACAGACTCCAGGTGTGTGGGACAGGGCAGCCTTCCCAGGCGGGGTCTCTACCTGCCCTGACATTATGGATGTCCTTTTCAATGCGCTTGGCTCTTGGCTCATGCAGATGCTGACGCAGCTCCAATTCTGATTCCAGCTCATTGATCTTGGTGGTCACCATGACCCGGGTTTTGAGGACACATTGGTCAAACCACTTCTCTAGGTGGTCGAAAAAGCCAGCTCGAAGTCTGAGGGAGAGACCAGTGAGGGTCAGCTCTGCCAGCTGGAGAGAGCTTTTCATATCGATACAGAAAGTTCTTCCCCCTTTCACTTCTTCCTTATTTTATTTCCCAACTATGTTATATTCCTTTGTCTGGATGGACCACCATGAATTTAACCAGACTCCTGCTGGAGGACACTGGATGGTTTCCAACCATCTGTTCTTCAAAAAAGGCTGCAACGTCAAGTGTAAAATTTCTATAGGATACATTCCCTGAACTGGAATTGTTGAATCAAAGGCTAGAATACATGTGTGGTTCTTGAAGATATGACTGACCTGCTTTCATGGCAAGGCAGCCGGAACTGCCATCTGCAATAACAGTTCCCATTTCTCCACAGCCTCAGAGCAGATTGCCAAGCTTTTGAATTTGTCAATTTCATCATGGTTTGACCGAAACTGAGCATACTGGCATGTGTTTAAGCCTATTTAATTTCTTTTTCTACATACTATCCATTAATATCTTTTGCCCATTTCTCCATTGTGTAGATGCTGTTTTTCTTATCAATTTCTTTATATGGGCACTCCTTATATATTGGGAACATGAGGTCATTTGATTGTGATGTGAGCTGTAAATATTTTTCCCAACTCATCACTTCTTCCTTATCAAAATTTATGAATTGTTAAGATGGCTATGTACTGTTAAAGTGTTGGTTTTCCCCCAAATTTATCGATAGATTCAATTCAATAAAATTTATCTATAGATTCAATGCAATCAGGACACCTGGGTGGCTCAGTTGGTTAAGCATCTGACTCTTGGTTTCGGCTCAGGTCATGATCTCATGGGTCATGAGATCAAACTCCACGTCAGGCTCCAAGCTCAGTGGGGACTCTACTTGAAAATTCTCTCTCTCTGCCCCTCCCCACCTTGCGTGCACACACACTGTCTAAAATAAATGAGTAAATCTTTTTAAAAAAACTAAATAAAAATAAAAAGCTCAGCAGATGTCTTCTTTCAGAAACTGATAAGCTGATCTCAAGTTTATGCAGAAATGCAAATGGCCAAGGATAGTTGAGGAGAAGGCCAAAGTTGGAGAACTTACACTACCAGTTATTAAGACTTACTATAAAGCTACAGTAATCAGGCAGGGTGAGGCAGTAATGCAAGCATAGATACACAGAGAAACAGAAAGGAAGTGCGGCAGAACAGTCGGGAGAGGAGAGTCTTCTGGGGTCAAGTGGTTATCCATTTAGAAAGAAATCTGACTCCTATCTCACACATAAACAAAATTAATTCCAGGTGGATTTTACATCTATATGCGGAAATTTAAAACAATAACATTTGTAGTAAATACCATAGGAGGATACTTTCACGACCTTAGGGCAAGCAAAGATTTCTTGGATAAGATAGAAAGTACACTAACCCTAATGAAAAAATGTTGATGAATAGGACCTTATTACAAATAAGAATTTCTTTTCATCAAAAGATGCCTTTAGGTGAGTAAAAAAAAAAAAAAAAAGGCAAGCACAGAGAGGGATAAACATTTGCCACTTATTTACCTAACGACAACCTCATATCTAGGATAGGTAACTTACTCACATAAATTAATAAGAAAAAAGATTGACAATCCACCAGGAAAAAATGGGCAAAAGATTTGACTAGGCATTTCAGAAAAGATAACCAAATGGTCAACAAGTATATGAAAAGGTACACATCATTACTCTTCATGAAAATGCAAATTAAAACCACAGTGAAACACCACTACATGTACACTGGAATGGCTAAAACAAAAACTGTTGGCAATACCAAGTGTTGATGAAGATGTGGAACAAATGGAACTCTCACACACTGTTGGAAACTGTTAAAACAAAATCACTTTTGAAAACTCTTTGGTAGTATCTTTTGGTTGTATCTTCTCAAGAGGGACATACATATAACCCTATGTCCCAACAATTCCACTCTCAGTTATATATCTAACAGAAATGGAGACATACGTTCACCAAAAGACTTGTACAAGAATATTTAACCCATGGAATGGGAGAAGATATTTGCAAATGACATATCAGATAAAGGGCTGGTATCCAAGATCTATAAAGAACTCATCAAACTCAACACCCAAAAAACAAATAATCCAGCCAAGAAATGGGCAGAAGACATGAACAGACACCTTCTCCAAAGACAACATAAAAATGGCTAACAGACGCATGAAAAAATGCTCCACATTACTAGCCATCAGGGAAATACAAATCAAAACCACAATGAAATACCACCTTACACCAGTTAGAATGGCTAAAATTAACAAGACAGGGAACAACAATGTTGGCGAGGATGTGGAGAAAGGGGAACTCTCTTACACTGTTGGTGGGAATGCAAACTGGTACAGCCACTCTGGAAAACAGTATAGAGGTTCCTCAAGACATTAAAAATAGAGCTACCCTATGACCCAGTAATTGCACTACTGGGTATTTACCCCAAAGATACAGATGTAGTGAAAAGAAGGAGCACATGCATCCAATGTTCATAGCAGCAATATTCACAATAGCCAAACTGGAAGGAGCCAACATGTGCTTCATCTGATGAATGGATAAAGAAGATGTGGTTCATATATACAATGGAATATTACTCAGCCATCAGAAAGGATGAATACCTATCATTTGCATCGACATGGATGGAACTGGAGGGTATTATGCTAAGTGAAATAAGTCAAGCAGAGAAAGACATTTATCATAGGGTTTCACTCATATGTGGAATATAAGGAATAGCACAGAGGACTATAGGGGAAGGGAGGGAAAACTGAATGGGAAGAAATCAGTGAGGGAGACAAACCATGGGAGACTCTAGACTCCGGGAAACAACTGAGGGTTGCAGAAGGGAAGGGGGTTGGGGGAATGGGGTAACCAAGTGATGGGTATTAAGGAGGGCACATGATGTGATGAGCACTGGGTGTAACACGCAACTTATGAATCACTGAACACTACATCAGAAACTAATGACGTACTATACGTTGGCTGATTGAACTTAAAAAAAGAAGAAGAAGAATGTTCAGGGTGGCATTGTTCCATTCCCCAATAAAAAACAATCCAAACGTGCCTCAGTAGTAGAATGGATAAAGAAAATGGGTTATGTATTTTTATAATGGAATACCATACAGAAATAAAAATGAGCTGAAACCACATTCAAAAATACATATGAATCTCACAAATATAATGAAAGAATTCCAACATAAAAGAGTACATTTTCTATGATTCTATTTAAATAAAGTTCAAAAACAAGCAAAAGAAGTTAGAATATTTGCTATCCTTAAGGAAGAGAGGGCGGTGCCTAGAGATGAATACATGAAGGGGCTCCTGGAGAGTTGGTCATGTTCTATTTGGGGGAGGGGGTACTGGTTACCAGGTGTGTTCCCTTTGGATGATTCATTAATGCATGATTTCCATACTTTTCAGTACTGTATCCTTCAACATGCAAATCCAATTAGTTTGACACAGAACTTTTTCTGGTTAATTCCAAGGCCAGATGGCATAGTGTTTGGTTCAAGACTCTGGAATCACATGGTCTAGATTCATATCCTAGATCCAACTACTTCTTAGCTCAGAGATCTTATCCAAATTACTAACTCCCTGAGCTTCAGTTTCTTTGTAACATAGGCTAATGATAGTACCTCTTTCATAGTTATTGAGAGTATTAAATTCTCTCAATAAATATTAGCTCTTGTGGTGGTCCTTGCCTTTCTTCTTTAAGGAGAAGACAGACAATGGCTTGTGACAGAGAAGGAGAAAGGATGAGTTTCAAGTCAAGAGACATTTTCAAGGTGAGATGATGCTGAGGTGAAAGAGAAGAGTCCAAAAGCCTGACTTAACTCCTTCTACTCCCTGCCCATGTCTACACATAGGAGGTAGACTAATCAGGTGATCTCTAGCTGGTTAGTCCTAGCTATGACATTGTAGAGTCAGGAGTGCAATGGAAACGCTATCCTAAAGCCAACTGCAAATTTCCACGTTGGGTCCAAATTCAAACACAAAGGCCCAGAAACTTGGGATTTAGGGGAGATAAATTCTCAGTGGTAGAATCATGGGTCATTTTTATATTCTTCATTGTACTTTTTTCAATTTTCTAATTTTCGGCAATTAATGTGTCATATAACCAGAGCCAAACACTATGCTGATATAAACTCATACCTAGGGTCTATAGCTACATAATTATTAAAAAAAAAAAAAAAAGGGAAGGAAGGAAGAAAGGGAAACCGCAAGATTCCACATGTGCCAGGGGTTCTAAAATCTTGCAGGGAAAACACTATTTCTTATGTACAAGGCCCAGGCCAGCAAGGCATCCTGGGACAGGCGGAGCGGGTTACTCTCACAGAAGATATCTGTGACTACAAATAATTCCTGGAAATTTACTATTTTTTTTTTCATTGTTTCTCACCTCAACCCTCAGTTGCCTACATATTTTCTTTTTCCAGCTGAAACTAGTCCAATCTTTTATTATAATACCTCACCTTGTTAATAAACTTAGGACAGGAGAATGAGAATAAAATGGGTTTCTACTCACTGTTTCTTAATTTGTAAAACTAGTCTAGATGGAATGATCACTTGTTCTAGGAAGTTGGCACTGGAAATGTCATTGATGAGAATGGTAGAAAGGTTGGAATGGGGCTTCTTGCAACTCTCTTCTTTTTGTTCCAGGGTTAGGAAGACAAAATAAGTGTGTCCGCTGGAGGTTGTGAAGGACTCCATGTCCTCATCGGAGATCTTCCCCAGATTCTCTTCCTGGGCTTCAGCCTATGCAGAAGAGGAGACTTTAGACTTGACGTCATCAGACAGACCTGGGGATCCAACCACAGGATCCTTGATATCAAGGTTGTAAACCTGTGGGCTGAATCGTGCCTGTAATTATTTTTTGCCCAACATAGTGCTTTCAAAATCAGGAAATTCTAAAGAATTTGGATTTCGGATTTCTCTTAAAAATCAGAAAATCTGGCAATTCTGAGTCTCCATTCCCACATGGCATTATTGGCTGGAGCTGAGTAATGAGTGCACAGGTGCCTTAGACTAAATGGTAGGTGCTCTCCGAAATTCATATCCCCAGTGTGTTGCTATTTGGAGGTGGGCTTTTAGGAGGTGATTAGGTCAGGAGGGAAAAGCCCTCATGAATGGGGTTAGTGCCCTTATAAAAGAGTTGGCTCTTTCCACCATATGAAGACACAGTGAGAATATGGCTGTCTACGAACCAGGAAGTGGGACCTCACCACACACCAAATCTGCCGGCACCCTGATCTTGGGCTTCCCAGTCTCCAGAACAGTGAGAAATAAATTTCTGTTGTTTATAAGCTGCCCAGTCTATGGTATTCTGTTATAGCAGTCCCAACAGACTAAGACAATTGTCTTCACACTTGTCACTATTTTACAGTTGGTCTCCAGACCTCTTTTCTATTACATGGCTGTGGGCATTTGAATTTGGGATCCCTGCTCAAAAACAAGTCTCCTAGGCCAATTCTTCTACAGCAGTGTAGGAAGAGAGTCTTGCAATTTCATGATTATGGAATTCAAGTTACTGGTCTATGAATTGGAATGTGTTTTGAGGACAAATTTATTAATATGAGAGTAAATTCCCTGCACTCCAAGGAGAGCTCTGTCTGCCAACTTGGATATGGGTCTTTTCTGCTTCACAAGAGAATAGGAAGAGAGAGGGAATGGAGAGACTAGGTTGGTCTATACAGGAAAGAAGAGCTGGGAAAGAGATGACCAGGGAAGGACAAGGAAAGCCATACAGTTAAGGGGTGACTTTCAGAGTAAGTTGCAGTATAAGATGTTAGGAGAAAAAAGTGAATTTTAAAAAGCACTGTTGTGAGATAAGAATTGGATTCCTGTTGACAAAATAAAAGATGTGCATACATTTATAAATCCCAATGGAGACTGCATCACTGGGGACCCCAGCTTGTATTAGGGATATGCAGAGTGAGCCTAGCACGCTTTCCCCACACCCAAGAATGGATCCATTGCTGGCCTACCTCATCCATAAATAAACTCTCATGTTCTTCCTCCTCCTCCTCCTCTTTCTCCTCCTCCTTCTTCTTCTTTTTCTTCTTCCTCTTCTCCTTCTCCCTCTCCTCCACCTTTGCCTTCTCTTCCTCCTCCTTCCTTTTCTCCTCCTCCATCTCCTCTTCTTGAACCATCACATTTTCCTGGTTCAGGGATGATTTTAAGGAGCTGTCTCTTTCAACTTGCATTTTTTCTGATTCCTGAACAGATTCCTCACTGGACTCATCCATCTTGTCACTCAGTACAGACTGTTCCTGCTGGCTCACTGCCATCTCTTCAGTTAAGGAAGACTCAAATCCTTGGTCATCTTCTTCTGTCTCTTCTGCTGGCCTGGAGGGACTTGTCCCGCTACTTTCACCTTCCTCACTTTTGCTCATTTCCACTTTAGCCCTCTGCTTGCTTCTCCATTTTCTCATACTCTCCTGGAAGTGCTTTTCGTGTGCTTCTGTTGATGACCAACCCCAAAAGCACAAGGAAAAACAGGTTACCAAGGTAGCCTGGATTGGGCCCACCCAGCCCACAAATGTACAAGAGTGAAGTCAGAGAGGATTAGACTTGAATTATAATAGTGTTACCTGGTTCCCTGAGTTTGAAAATGACTTCCCCATCCAAGGTCTACAAAGAAAAACCACAGGGCACTGAGTGAGCAGCACCGCTTTTCTCCGGAGTGCCACGTCTAAGGGCATCTCTTCTCACTTAAGTAGAAGCACCCACCCCTCCCCTTCAGCATCTGATGTGGGCCTTGACTACTTATTTTCCTGGGGCAATCAGAGTGTTCCCAAACCAGGGAATCAGTTTGCCTTAATCCCAGGCAGGCTAGCAAATCTTTCTATCACATAATAGGCATGAGTAAATAAACTCTCATTCTCACATTTTTGTAGTGATCCAGGGCAAAGAGCAAGAAAGTATAAATTGAAGGATGCAGACAAAGGGGCAGAAATCTGCTGCTCCCAGTGCTGAATGTGAACATACAGAGTGAACATGATTTATGTGATCTGGGAGCCCCTTCATTAAGCCTACAAATTCCGTTTCACAGACTCTAGATGTAGTCATGAATATACTGTGCCATGGATAATAGTGTGGGCTGCAGAGTTTGCAGGTCTGGATTTGAATCCCAGCTCCTTTCAAGCTGCGTGACCTTGGCCAAGCTCCTTAAGCCCTATGGGGCTCAATGTCCTCCCTTGTGCCATGGAGATCATAATAGCACCTCAACTTGAACCCAGGTGACCAGACGATCTCAAAGTGCAGTTGGTGAGCTCCCCCTCCTATAGCTTGAGTGCCACCTCAACCTAGGTGCCAGAGGAAGCATTTATCAACAATGAAACAGAGATCCCTCCTCTCTGGGGGGATTCTCGGAGGAGCTGGGGACCCCCATATACATGAGAAAGCCTCAGCTAGGTTCAGTGATAACCGCAAGCAGTGTCAGGTCTGGCCACGCAGGACTCTGGCTGGCTGTGTGGGAAAGAGACAAACTCTAGGAGGGTCAGGCCAGGACATTCCAGGTAGTCGTGCATTTACCCAGGGAGCATTCACTGTGTCTGAATCACGTGCAAGACACTGTGTGAAGGGTAAGTGAAGCTGAATCAAAATTAGTGAGACATACCTGTCCTTCAGGAAACACCTACTCTGGATATTCTGCACTCCTGTCTTTGCCGGCAACCAACATACAAGCACGCCCAGAGAGAGGAGAGTGGACAGGGGGTGAGGAACGTGAGTGGCTGGGACACTTGTCCCTGGCAGTGGAAGGCTGGCAGGCTCTGGGAGGTGTGGAGACAGAAGGCTGCCAGCAGAGGAGCAGGCTGAGGAAGGCCAGGGGCAAGGTGGGAACCAGATGTGGGGGCCTCTGTGGTCATCTAGGACTGTGAGTTGGATTTGGCAGGGGCGGCAGAGTTGGGCGGGGCGGTGGGGGGGGTCGGTACTTCTGAGCCGGAGAGAGGGCAGGTCTGAGCGGTATTTTAGGAGGGTTATGTGGCAGTGGTGGGGAGGATGAATGGAACTCAGAGTCCTAGAAAATAGTCTTTTCATCATAATTCCATACAAGCCTGAGGCCTGAATTCAGAGCCCTTCAACCTCTTTTAATCTAAGGAGGAGATGGTCTCTTTTAGAAACGCCTTCAGCTTCTTACCCCTTGCTGTTCTCACAGAGTCTAACTCAGCAGGGGTTCGTGAAGGCTTACAAAGTGAAGGCAGATCAGAGCTAGAAGATATCCTTTCCACTTTGCTTCCCGGGGAGTGCCTGGGTGTTTGCACTGCTTTCCATACCTGTTCAAAGATCTCGCGAACGTAGAAGTGTCGGCTGAGAGTGGAGCTATAGGAGTTCAGTTCTTTCAGTATGATCACGGGGTACTCCATCACCTCCTTTGTCAGGAGCTTGTGGAAACACTCATACCTGGGAGGGGGGGTAGGCGAGACCACTGTCTAAGCGGGGGCCGCTCCACCAAGTGTGGGAGACCCTGACCAAGAGCCCCGCCCCAGGCCGCTCGGAGATGGGCTGGGGGCCGCAGTTCGCTCCACACAGAGCCACTGTCTGTGTTTCCTTTCACTCTGGCAATCCTTGGTTTGTTTTGCTCTTTTTCTGATCCTACAAGGAATACACACTCTCCGTAGAACATTTGGAAAACACACACCAGGAGAGTTCTCTGTTGGGACATGAGTTCCCATTTCCTATCCACAGTCCTAACCCTGTCCTTGAACTTTACCTACATCATCACACCAAACACTACAGTGCCCAAGGGATCAGGCCTTTATCTGTTTCCCAGGTAAGGAGACAAGCCTGGGGGAGTAGGGGGAGGAGATACTGCCTCAAGATACACTTCTGAAAACTAAGTACTGAAGCTAAGTATTGAATCATTTGGCAGCGCAATTTCATTTCTATGAATGGTCCCTATAAAATTAGTTGTACAATGGCACAAAGATACAAGACAGTTCACAGAGTACTGTTTTTAACATTGAGAAATTGGAACCAATCTTAAAAAGCTAAACAACTGGGAGATGGTTAGACCATTATGAAGCACCCATATTGATGAATTCTGCATGGTCATTAGAAAATGGACATCTATCTGCAGTTAGAGATCTATTTGCATTGCATTGCATAATCCAACCTTTATTTAAAAAACACTGTATATGTGTTTATATCCACATAAATAAAGGTATATGCCCATGAAAAGGAAGAGGTGGATAGGAATGAGGGGGAAATTTCTACATGTTTGGATTAGTTAACTTTTTTTTCTTTAACAAAGAGCACCTATGTTTTAAAATCTGAAAAGGTAGTGGGAGGGCCCATGCTCTTGACCTTTAAACTACAAGGCCTTGAAATCTCCCTCCATAAACTTTTTAGATCAAAGTTCTTCTGGAAGCTTCTGTGTTGGCTGAGAGCAGAGCTGCAAAGGACCACTAGGAATTCTCCAAAGCTAGAGGCAACATTTTAATCTTGAGCTTGCTGAGCACACCCTGGGCTCCTAAGCAGGCAACCTCTGATCTTGAATATGAATTTCAGGCCATTCCCTTCTGTCTTTTGGGATCTGGTCTGCCTACCTGTATTTCATATTCTTCAGGAAATCTTTGGCCTTTTCCAGGTGAATCTTCAGTGTTTCTTCGTGGCTTTGCTGCCTCAGTTGGTCCAAGAGCTTATCAAGGTGGGCCTCCTGGGCCTGGCAGCCACACCCAAAATAGGAGGAAGCAGATGTGAGTTACCAAACTCAAAACTCGCAGAGTGCCTGTGAGTGACATGCAGAGACCCCACCACCAGAACGGAGGGGCAGGAACCTCAGAGCAAATGCAGGACTTTTTCCTACAAAAGGGGGCACCAAATGTGCCACCACACTTACCCTCAATGCCCTGGGCTCTTTTCTCTGTCGATAATGTTCTTCTCTGTCTATTTTAGACCCAGCTCAGATGGGACTCCTCAGGGACATGTCCCTTATACCCACCCCACCCGGGCAGGCCCCAGCTACACCTTCCCAAGGCGCCTGTCCCATGCTCTCCTCGACACCAATTGTATTTAAAATCACATGCTGGGTGTGCCCCTCCACTCCCTAGACTGTGTGAAGGCAGGTGGGGTGGGGGCCCAGCTCATTTCCTGTGGGCACGGCTTGACTGCCATAGGTAGATGTTCTGTACACCGCCCCCCCCCCCTCACCTAGTCTGTCTGTCTCTCATGCACACTCTCTTACAGACACATTTGAGTCCAAGGACCCATCACTAGCCCAGACCTGGCAGGCATATTTCTTCCACTCCCATCCAGCCCATGACCAAGGTGAGCCTTGATTTCTCCATCTGTGTAAGTTTTATAGCTGGAGGTTTTACATTTCAGTCTCAGATAAGTTTGGGGTTAATTTTTATTTATGATACCATAAATACGGTGGGATTTTTTTTTTCTTAATCTGAATGCCGGCTGAGGCTATAGGCCACCAAGCAGAGCAGCCGACCGTCTGGGTGTGGCCCTCTCTTCTGTCCCCGCTGGGGCTCCCTGGGGCACTCGGAGCCACACCTGCTCCTCCAGGCTGTGCTTGTGCTGCTGTTGCTCCATCCTCTTCTCCAGCTCCAGATCCTGCGCCGACAGCACGCTCTCATGTGCCTCCCACAGCTGCACGGCCTCCTGGAAGTAGCTGAAGAGACCCGAGCTCTGCCATTCTGTCTGCTTTGCCAGGTCCTCAAAGGATTTCTGCAGCGGCAGAACCCAGAGAAGGGGACTTGAAGGCCACCTGGCCCAGGGTGAGGAGAAGGCCCCCCTCACAGGGCTCCCTCGCCAGCCAGTAGAGGCCCCACCTCTCTAAGGACTGGCCGTCGCTGCCTGGGCACCATCCCTCGGGGTCATCTTCCTGGGTCACACTTTGGCTCACGGCCCTCCCTCCTCTGGGACAGCTTCTGGTCTGCCCAAAGCCATGCCCTCAGTCTGGCTGACCCCGAAGTCCCATCTCTAGACCTGTCCCATATCCACTGAAGTCACTCGTGGGAAGAAGGAGAAGTGCGGGGCCTCAAAGAAAGCAGGAGCCGCCCAGACACCAGCCTGGGCAGCTTTCCTTCTTTGGAGCTCCCTGATTCTTAGCATCTGAGCCAAACACCACACTCTGCTGTTAAATCCTCACCTCTCCCCATTTTATGGATGTATTTTATGCTCTCATTGGTGCCAGGGGTCAACAAACTTAGCCTAGGAACTAAATTTGGCCCTCTACCGTTTTTTGTGGCCCTGAGAGCTAAGCAGAGATTTTACATGTTTTAACGGCTTAAAAAAAAAAAAATCCACAAAGATACTGAATTATATGAAATTCAAACTTCAGTGTTCACAAATAAAATTGTCTTGAAGCGCAGCCACACCCATCCGTTCCGGCGTTGCCCACCGTGGCTTTTGTGTGACAAGAGCAGAGTGAGAAGTTACTACAGAGACCTGACAGCCCACAGAGAAATGAAATATTTACTCTCTGGCGCCTAGCAGAAAATGTTTCTCCACCCAGCTCCAGGTTCTAAGCGTCTTGGGCAGGGGCTTATTGCTCCTTGTGGCCCTTGGATGCGCAGGCTCAGCAAGGGCTCCGAGGAGCACTGCCACCCCAGCCCTGGGGCGGCACGGCCGTAGGAGGGCAGCTGGGGGGTCGTGGGGCAGCCGGGAGCACTCGGTGCGGAGAACCGCCCCAGGGGGCGGCCAGGACCAGGGAGATGGACTCACTGGTGACAAGAAAGCTGGGGGCCCCCAGACTCCAGTCTTCTCATAGCCTGGCACTCCAGGTGCCCCGCCCCCGACCAGCTGTGCGGGTCCCCAGCTACGCACATCCCAGAGCTCCAGCTTCTCCTCCACCTCACTCTGCAGCACTCCCACCGTCTGGAAGAAGTACGGGCTCACCAGGCTCTCTGCCTCCTCCTCGGTGAAGGCTTTCCAGTCCAGCAGCTGCTTCTGGAGGGGAACAGGGCAGAGCCTGGCTTAGGACCGGGGAGGGCTTCACCTCGGGGCCTGGCCCTGCCTCCCTGAGGTCTGCCTCTCACCCAGCCTCAGGGGAAACCCTCACAGCGGTGGGGATGGTCCACCTTTTCGGTCCGCCCACCGAGTCCAGGCGCTGTGTACTATCCTGCTGTCTCACTGAATCCCCTGAAGGCATTCTCATTAGCCCTGTTTGACAGATGAGGAAACCAAGGCTCAGAGAAGTGGAGGAACTTGCTGGAGGCCACACATCTGGCAAGTGGGGGGCTGGGATCCGAACTCAGAACTGTCGTCCTGCAGACCCCAGAGACATAATCAGCCATGCTACGGCCTCAGTGTGGCTGCAAGTCAGACGGGGCTCCTACTTCCTATAACTGAATTCCTATTATGCCAACTGGAAAGCAGTCTCTTCGTATTAATAAAGCCTTGGTTTATGCACAAACTCTAATATCTCCCACAAATAAAAAGTGTCTATAGGGGCGCCTGCGTGGCTCAGTGGTTAAGCGTCTGCCTTCAGCTCAGGTCATGATCCCAGGGTCCTGGGATCGAGCCCCACATCGGGCTCCCTGCTCCACGGGAGGCCTGCTTCTCCCTCTCCCACTCCCCCTGCTGTGTTCCCTCTCTCTCTGTGTCTCTCTGTGTCAAATAAATAAATAAAATCTTTAAAAAAGAAATAAGTGTCTATAGTTGTATACTTCCACTGCTGCTGAATAGGAATACCAAGCACCCTTCCTCTGTCAGGCCTAAGACGCTCTTGGGGCGTGTGCTGACTTTAACTTACTCCCCTGCTGTGCCTGACAAAGGGAAGTGAGAATGGGCATGAGGGTCAGCACTGAGGGCCCCTGGGCTCTTGGGAGGTCTTAGGCTGCCCCCCTGGATGAGGGGAGGAAACTGTCAGGGGCATGGTGCTGGGAAGGCTCTCCTCAGGCAAAAGCTTCCCTCCCTCCTCTCCCTCCAGGCTTTACTTCTGAGGCTTGACACCCTGAAAAAGCTGACTGAGAGGCATGTGGCTGGTCCGAAGGCCACAGAGCAAACGGGCAGCCCCTGGGCCTTTTGCAAACTTGGTCTTCTCATCATCAGACGGGGCTGGTGACGCCCACCCTGCAGGACCTCGTGGATTCAAGGTGAGCCTGTGCAAGCAGGTGGCGCAGCCCCCAGGGACGCAGCACCGGACCCTGCCCAGCACCATGAAGCACTCTGCTACCCGTGAATTCTGCTCACCTCACAGTCTCGTTGGCAGAACAAAAGCTCTACAGACTCATGAGGGGAGGAGGAGCAGGAACTTGTTGGAGCCCGGAGGCAGGGAGAGGGCATTTTGACCAAATATCTCCTTGTACCCCAGAAAAGCAGGCACTGTCATTGAAGTGCTTTGCGAGGGACCCACGGTCTCACCGTCTGACAGGGGCCGGCGGGCTGGACAGGAAGGCTGGGAGTGACAGCAGTGGCCACACTATCTTACAAAAGCGAAGCCCTGGAAATAACCCCCCTGATCCGAGCTGCCCTGAATCAATAATGTCAAGTGCTATAAGGGGTACAGACTGTCAAGGCTGAAGCCTGACGTGATCAGAGAGTGTATCACTTCATCCGTGGGGTCAGGGAAGTCTTCCTGGAGAAGGAAGGGCTGGGCTCCACCTTGAGTGACAGGTGGGAAGGGCTGGGGAGGAGGGGTCTGGGCGGAGGGATGCCCAGAGGCCAGGGAAGGCCTGGGGCGCGTGAGGAAGGAAAGCAGGGGATCCAGGCTGGAGGGGGGCAGGGGCGGGCCAGGAGGGGCGCCCACCTTGCACTTCTGCACGTGGGCCAGGCACTCCTGCCACGTCTTCTCGTACTGCAGGCGGATCCGCATCATGCAGTCCATGTGGTAGGTATCTCCGTGGGCAGAAAGAAAACATGTCAGCTGCTCTTCCAGAAGGAAGAGAGGAGATTAGAAAGAGTTTCCCCTCCGCAAGGGAGGCAGCTTCTCTCTTTAGCGAAGATAACTGAGGTGAGATCCATGGTCCCGATTCTGAGCAGGGGCTGGGATCTCCTTCCTCACAAAGTCCCCAACACCCCAAGATAAGGGCCTTGAATGAGGAGTTGCCTTTATCTGTTCTGAATCTATTCTAACCCTGATTCTTGACTCCGTTTCAAGACTAATGGAATTCCAGATGGTTGCACCGAATCATAAAACAATAACAAGGGTGCAAATTAACGAGAGTTTACTGATTACATCTGTGCTTAGTTCCTTAAGAAGTGAATAGGCTAGCAGAACACTCAGAAGCTGGCTGATTGGTTTTCTCTCCTCCCCGTCTACTGTTTCCCACTTTCTAATAAACTCGGTGTGACTCTTGGTGTCTGAGACAAGCAGCTGAAGTTTAATGTCCCTGGCAGTTCTAGAAACTGAAACACAGCACAAAGATTCTGCGGCAGTCGTTTTTGGATGAGGGCTGAGGAAGAGGACAGGGTGGATGGAAGCTGGGTAGATGGAGGACACGGGGGCGGGGGTGGGGGAGTGTGTGTGGAAGATATGCAATGGAACTGATGAGGAGCAGCTCTGAAGCTGGTTTCTCCAGCCCCAGGGCAGCTTCCTAGGCCAGCACATCCCCACCCATCCCATGAAGTCACTGTGATCTGTGCTTCCACTCCTGTACCCCTCTGATCTCTTCCCACTCTGACCTCCTCACTCCCAGCTCAGAACTTTGCCCTGGGTTCCCACTCCCACCGGAGAAAGCCCAGCCTCCCCCACATGGCCACACGGCCAGCAAAGTCTGGCTCCCCCACCCCCGGCATCTTCCAGCCTCCCCCACCATGTTCTCCTTTCCCCAAAGGCCCCAGCTCTGTCTTGACCCCGAGCCTCCTCACATGCTATTCTTCCTGCCGGAAAAGCTCCCCTTATCCCTGGGTTTGGCTAACTCTTGCCTTGCAGTTCTTGACTGGATGAACACTTCCCTGGCAAGGTCTCATATGACCCTTAACCAAGCTCTGTCCCCAGAAACATGCTGGTCACCTGTCTGCTCTTTGCTGTAACATCCTGCATGGCCTGACTTTTGCCCTGGATGGGAAACACCCTGCTGGGTATCAGGGCCCAGCCCTGCACCCGTCCCCAGGAGGTGCCTGGTAAATGGCAGTTATTGCTATTATTTAGGGTCTTGGAGCTCTTACCCTTGGTATTATAATTATAATACCTCTGTAGTTTTAAACCTGAGAGCCCTGGGAGCAATGATGGATACTCTTAACCAAAGTACCCAGGTCAAGTGCAGGTGTGACGTCATTAGCTGTGTGACCATGGGCGTAGAGGATACCTCTCCTCTCTATGCCTCTGAGTCCTTCTCTATCACAGGGGGACAATGGCACTACTGACCTTACCAGGTTGCTGTAAGCCTCAAAGGAGATGGAAATATCCTATATCTTCTAGAGCAAGGCTTGGCAAACATTTTCTATAAAGGGCTAGATAGTAGATACTGCCAGCTTTGCCAGCCATAAAGTCTCTGCTGCAACTACTCTTTTAAAAAAAATTATTTATTTGAGAGAGAGAACAAGAGCATAAGCAGGGGAGGGGCAGAAGCAGGCTCCCCGCTGGGCAGAGAGTCGACATGGGGCTTGATCCCAGGACCCTGGGGTCATGACCCGAGCCAAAGGCAGACACTTATCGACTGAGCCTCCTTTATTATTCCTCTTGGGATCCCTATTTTATTGAGGAGCAGTTTGAGGCCAAGAGAAGTCATGCCTTCCCCAAGGTCACACAGTTGGGACAGCACAGAGCTGGGGGTCAAACCCATGTCTCTCTGACTATAAGACCACCTGCTTGGCATCTCCTATGCCCAGTACCTGGCCCCCAACCTGTCCCCACAGGAGTTCATCAGAGCCATCCCTCTGGCTCCTTGCTGGGGTCAAGGTTCAGGGATCAGACTATGTGGCTGGCATGGCTGCCAGCTGGGCAGTGACCAGGAAGCTGTGGGAGGGAGGAAAAGGGCTCTACCAGGCAAGGTATGGGGAGATCCTATATGAACCCTCGGAGCTCACTCTTCCATCTGCATTCCCTCTCTCCTCCAGGGGGACATGCCCCACTCCTGAGTTTATAATAGACTCTCACATAAATGACTGGCTACTACATGAACAGGGTTCTGAAGAGACCCGAGTGGCATCCCACAAAACGCACTTACCAAGGTGCTTATTTAGGGAGTTGAGAGAAGACTGCCATTCAGTCAGCTGAGCTTTGCGGTAATTGGGGGGCAGAAGGTCACTGGGGAAGGAAGATATGACAAGGAAGCCATGCTTGAATAAAATATTCGCTTACCAGAACAGGCAGCATCTTTAAGGCACATAGCCCCATAGTATAGTATCTATGGAGGTATCAAAGAAACAGTTGACTTGCTGGGGATTTCCTGGTGCCAAAAATATAACTCATAAGAGGTCTATTACCCAAAGATACAAAAGTAGGGACCCGAAGGGATACGTGCCCCCCGATGTTTATAGTAGCAATGTCCACAATAGCCAAACTGTGGAAAGAGCCAAGATGTCCATCAGCAGATGAATGGATAAAGAAGATGTGGTATATATACACAATGGAATATTATGCAGCCATCAAAAAATGAAATCTTGCCATTTGCAACGACGTGGATGGAACTGGAGGGT